TTGTTATGTATGGTCTACCTGAATGAGTCGGTATTAATTAAAATTGTAATCACGTAAAGTGAAACTTGGATGAGCAATAAAACTCTGGAAAGTGTGCACTTCGAGAGTATTGACAGTTATGGGTTGGGGTACACGGTGGTAGCCCATGGGTTTCCGAGGCTTGTTTGATCAACATGTCCTCTTCTCTTTTGGTATTTACATTTTTCTAATATAATGAAAATTAGATGGGATCCTAAACTAATTTAGTGAGAATGAAGTCGCGCCCATTCTTGCATTGCGCTAAAATTTTAAATGGTCAATTGGGACCAAAATGATTTGGTGGGTTGGACAACCTCGTCTATTTCTTACTCCAAATTAAATTAATCAAATTAAATGTAAAGAGTCAAGTGTTTGGAGTTGGTTACTAAGTATATGTTGAGTCAATTGAATTGCTTAAGTGTGGAGTCTTGATTAATGAATTCGTGTTGCATATTTATTTACTTTAATTAATTGAGCATGCTAGGTTTTGTACGTTGTAGCTTGTATGTACTCAGCTTTGTTGATTGCATGATTTTTTGTGTGTTGCTTTTGGTCATGCCCTTCGCCTTTCAATGACCCTGTGATGATCCAATTATTACACTTGTATTATCGGGGAGCAGTATTGCACATGTTAGCTTGATTATGTGAAGTTCGGGGATTTGGCATATGCATTGTCAACGGATTGGTGTGATTGAGAGTATTCGTTCTTTGTGTTGAACTTATTTATGTTTTACTATTTCAGTTATGTTTTGGATTTTGAATATTGGTTTGGTGTTAATAAGGGCCTTAATGGTTCCAATTTGTAATCTTTGACTTATTGGTTCTCTAAATTATGTTATTTTAAGATTTAAGTTGGATTTCCGCTGTGATACTTTGATAAAGCCTTAACGTTTTAACACGTGGCGGTAACATGTAAATGGTTCTCCTCTAATTTATTTAAATTAAGTGGTTTGGAAAAGGGAGAATTATTGGGGTGTTACAAATACACCCTAACAAGTGTAAAGTCCTAGGCTTTTAAAGGGACATGGGCATCTAAGGAGAAAGATCCCCTACTATGGGATCACCCTCCTTACAAACTGGTGGACACCTTTCCATCATCAACTGAGTGGATCATCTTCTTCAGATGATCCTTGGTGTCCCAGATGGTCGGGCCACCACTTGTGAATCTGCCTGCTTTAGTGTAGACCGGATCCTTGTCGGTGTCTGAGCTACTAGTAGGCTGGGCAGTCTTGGACGACTGTCCCGGATTCTTCTTGGCAGTCGCTTTGGACTTCAAGACATAGGACTTCAGCACGTCCTTATCAGCTAGACGGTCCAACGTTTGCTTGATACTATAGAAGACGTTGGTGTCATTGTCGACTTCCTCATGGAAGTGACAGTATTTATTCTTATTCCATGACTGGATAGAACTCTTCATTGGATTTGGCTTCTCAATGGTCAGCCAGTCCTTTATCTCCATGAGGATGAAGTGGAAGTCTTTATTAAACTCGTACCTCGGGACGTACAGTTTGAATTCTTTCTTTTTCTTTTTGGACGGCTGATCAAGCTCATCAACCGCCCAAACTTCTTTTCTCTTTTTTCTCTCTTCAGCTTTCTGAGCCGACTGAGCAGACCGACTCTTTTTTTGTTTGTCAGACTTCTTGGAGTCTGACTGATGGCTAGACGAGCAGAGGTCGGTAGCTTGAATAAAGCTCTCCGCCACTATCAACGCCTCTTGCAGGGTGGAGACCCTCTTTCGGACAAGGTAAAACTTAAAGGTCGACCCATCCTTCAGACCCTTGAAGAAGTCTGTATAGGCTACCTCATCAGACAGCCCTTGAATCTGGATTCTCACCAGATTGAACTGTCTGACATAGGAGCAAAGCCCTTCTCTCTTTCCCTGCCTTATGGTGCTCAAGTCAAGACTTGTTTTCTTGGCAGGGATGTTCATTGAGAAGTTGGAGGGAAAAGGGAAAGCTAGCTTCCTGAAGCTATCAATGCACTCGGCTGGCAGATTGCCGAACCATTGTTAGGCTATGCCCTTCAAGGTAGCCAGGAAGCATTGACACCATATAGCATCCTCTAACCCCTGCATATGCATAAGGTTGGAGTAGGCCATGATTTGATCCTCCGGGTTGGAGATACCATCATAGGCACCTACCAACACATTCTTAACCTTGGCCGGCTGTGCTGCCTTGGTTATCTCCTTGGTGAACGCAGAAGTTTGTTCACCAAGTTTGAGCAGACAAAGCTGCCAGTCCAAAGGTTGGACATTATATGACGCATGTCCTCCAAAGAGGGCTGACTACATGAAATGAGGGGTGTATGGCACATATGCCATATGGGGCACGTACGGGGCATTCCCAATCATCTGAGGGCCAGAATGGACGGACTTGCCGCATGTATGTCTCTCATGCAAGGATTGATTATTCCTTGCAGATGTATTTTTAAAGCTGTCTAGAGAGCTCAATGTAGAGGCTGACTCAAACAGTTGCTGATTCCAATTTCGCTCGAGGACATGTCGAGCATCGGTAAAGGTTTTCTTGCTTCCATGCGGCTGAACGGCATGGATGACCTTCCTTGTGCCCTTCTGGGGCAGAAGAATCTTTGTCTAGTCAATGGCAGGCGTAGCCTTCCCCTTTGGATGTGGAGTAGGTTGCTTGTCTCTGACTGATTTCCTCTTCGCAGCTCGAGGAGATTTTTTGGCTAACTGACTCTTGCTAGAGTTAGCCGCCCTCTGGTTGACAGGTCCTTTATTTCACCCTTGAAACTTGTCATGAACTTCATGAGTTCATCTCGGGTTACCAGAGCCTGACCTCTTACTGCCTTGGTATTTCCAGGCGGTGTTCCATTAGACTTGTTGGTACCGGCTTCATTGTTTACTCGTTCCAGCTTGTCTCTGGAATGGATATGTTTGGAAATGAATGACTCGTCATAGGCCATATGTGTTTCGACTTCCACATCGTGGTCGTCTTCATGGTCTGAAGGCCTCCCCATCAACCATAGGAGGGTTGGGGTCTAGCGGTGGTACGGACTCTTGAACCATCTTTTAGGTACTCTCCCCACAGACGACGCCAAATGTTTTAGGTGTTTTTGTTCCTCGGGAGAGTTACAACTTGAAGACTGGTCCGGCGGTGCCTGTACCTGTAAAATAACGGAGACTCAGGGTGGTTGGAGCTCCGCCTCCGACGATCAAGTTAGAACGTGTTAGAGAATGTGAAAAGGTGCAAAAAGTAAAGTGAGATGTTCTCGGATTCCAAGATCAGGTATTTTCTTTGATGTAAGAGAATGTAGGGTAGGCTGTAATAAATTGTTGGTGTCCCCAAAATGGGGGAATCTCCCTATTTATAGGGTCGTTGGTATATGTGCCCCTAATTAGGTCACTCTGATCTAATTCTGTTAGGCTACCCCGAATTACGGCTTTCTCGAGATTTGAGCCCTACAGGTTGCCTTTTCTCCCAAATTCTGGGAATGACACTGTCAAATGGAAATTGGTCTAATTTGGACTAATCTAGGTCTAACACGTGTCAGCACCTGGTTAGCCCACGTGGCTTAGGTAAAAATAACCCAAAAAATGAAGGATAAATGCAAAGTCAAGAAGGTGTGGAGCCCAAAAGTTGTACCAGGTGGAGAAGTACAGCTTGTGGAAGCACATCTTGTGGATAAGCCGATTGTAAAAGTGGGTGGTGTGAAGTCTTCAGAGAGTCACGAGTGGTGGACTAAAACTACTCCCAAAATAGAAATGGAGCAGGGAAGGTGTCTGGGGATAAGAATGATGATGTAGTGCAAGTTTGCAATTCTTTTGAGAGATTACAAGGAGATGGAGTTATGGAGGTACCTTCTACTGGGGGTGATTCCATTTTTTATGGATAGAATTCTTATTTGGAATGTGAGAGGTCTGAATGGCCTCTCAAAACAGAAAGAAATCAAAGATTTCCTGTTTCAGAAGAAGGTTGGTTTGTGTGGTATTTTGGAGACTAAAATAAAACCTAGTAAATTTCCTAGCATTTAAACTGGGATGTTGCAAGGATGGTGTGTGACTTCTAACTTCTCTTCGGTTAAGGAGGTTAGAATTTTGGTGGCCTAACTCCTTCAATTCTTCTAGGTGCAAGTGTTAATGGTTACTTCTTAGTTGATTCGTTTAAAAGTTACAAATATTATCCTGAGGAAAGATTTCATGTGTTCTATTGTATATGGTATGAATGACTACAAGGAGAGAGAGCTGATGTAGGCTGATATATGTAGGATTGGGGCTGGTTTGTCTGGTCCATGGATTGTGTCTAGGGATTTTAACAGCCCTTTGAACTACGATAATAGGATTGGACACCCTATTACTCATTTTGAGCTTGTTCAGTTCAGAGAGTGTGTCCAGAAGTGTGGAATCTATGGGATGAAGAAAGTTGGATGCTCTTTTACTTAGAATAATAAGCAAGATGGTGGGCATAGAGTGGTGAACAAGATTGACAGGTCATTGGTTAATGATTGTGGGTCAATGCTATGCCAGATTCTTATGTGAATTACTTGCCTGAGTCTTTATTTGATCATAGCCCGACTATTATTCAGTTGGATGGGTCTAGTCAAAGGAATAGGGGAAGCATTAAGTATCGGGATATGTGGGCTTTGCATCATGAGTTTCTGAAAATTTTTCAGCAAATTTGGGAAAGCACTATTCATGGTGTGCATATGTATAAAGTAGTGAAGAAACTTAAATTGCTGAAATCTGAGTTGAGGAAATTACATATTAAGGATTGCACTGCAATTGAGCTCATATATTTGAAGCTTAAGCAAGAAATTGAGGAGGTGCAACTTGTTCTTCGGAATGATCAAGAGAATGAAGGGGCTAAGGATACTGAGAGACAATTGTTATAGGAGTTTAAATTAGTGAAAAAAAACAATATCTTTCTTTTCTCACTCAAAAATCCAAGATTTATTGTCTCAGAGTGAGGGATGATAATATTATATTTTTTCACAATTATGTGAAGCAGAGATAGTATAAATCGAAGATGATTGCTATTACTGACAAGGCTAGGATTTGGTGTGACAATCTTGATAAGGTTGCAGATGCTTTTGTGGATCATTATAAGTCTCTTCTTGGGACTGGTGATGGTGATAGGATTAATGTGCAGGATGAAATTGTGAAACATGGCAATTTCTTTCTAAAGATCAGGCTTTGCTCTTGAATGCCCCGTTTAGCAGGCAGGTAGTGAAGAAAGCTTTGCTCACTATCCCAAGAGATAAAGCTCTTGGGCTCGATGGTTATAGTAGTAATTTTTCAAGCATTTCTGGATCATCATTGTAAAAGAAGTTATAGATGCTATTTTATAGTTCTTGGGAAATGGCAAGATGCTAAAAGAGATTAATTGTACCACTTTAACTTTGATCCCTAAAGTGGATAACCCAACTTATGTCAATGAGTTAGGGCCTATTGCATGTTTTAATGTTCTTTATTACAAATGCATAACTAACTTGATCATTAATAGGCTCAAGCTAGTTCTATCCTGCCTTGTTTCTCATAATCAAGCTAGGTTTGTTGAAGGAAGACAAATTGTACAAAACATAAGTATTGTGCAAAATATTGTGTCAAGATAGGGCAGGAAGAACACTCCTCCTGGGTGCTTGCTAAAAGTTGATATCAGAAAAGCCTATGAATCCGTGAGATGAGAGTTCCTTTAGGAAATGTTAAGAGCTTTGAAGTTCCGTCAGAAGTTCATATTGTTAGTTATAAGTTATGTTACTTCTGCTTCTTTTTCCTTGGCTATTAATGGCAGTTTGTCTGGTTTTTTTAAAGACAAGAAAGGGTTGATACAAGGAGATCCAATGTCTCAGTTACTTTTTATTCTCTGTATGGAATATTTGTCTAGGATTTGGGGCAAGTTGGGCTGCAGCAGAAGTTTAAGTTTCATCCCAGATGTAAAGCTTGAGATTGAATAATTTGGTTTTTGCTGATGGCCTGATTATTTTCAATAAAGGCGACAAGGATTTTATTGATCTTATTCTGAGGAGTTTGTATACCTTTGTTGTTGCTTCTTGTTTGGTGGCTAATGAAGGGATGTCCAACATTTATTGTTGTAATGTTGAGCATGATGTGAAAGAGGACATAATTAGATCCTCTGGTTTTAAGGAGGGAACTCTTCCTTTCAAGTATCTAGGCATTAATGTGAGTGCTAAGAAATTAGCTAAGGATGATTTCAAGATGCTTATTGACAAGATTACTGGAAGAATTAGGTCTTGGGGATGCAAGACTCTTTCTTATGCTGGTAGAAATTAGTTACTGAATTCTATGTTGATGTCTATGCACATCTATTGGGTTACTATTTTTCTATTGCTTAAAAGTGTGATAGATGGGGTGGCTGCAATTTACAGAAACTTCTTATGGAGTGGGAAAGAAGTTTACACTAAGTCTCCTCTTATAGCTTTGGACATAGTTTGTAGAAGTAAGAAACAGGGTGGTTAGGGTATTCAAAATTGCAAGATTTAGAACATGACTGCCTTGGGAAAGCAGATTTGGAATATTTCTCATAATTAGGACATCTTGTGGTTAAGATGGGTTAATGGTATGTATTTGAAAGAGAAGAATTGGAAGAGGTTTAGGTGCCCAAGTAATGTTAGTTGAAGTTGGAGATAAATTTGGTGGGTTAAAGATCAGATTAAGGATGGTTATGCTGGTAACACCTGGAAGGAGAACATGAAAGGATATGACATTTCTAGTGGCTACTAATGGATTTTCAAGCAGCATGATGAGGTGCCTTGGTGCAGCTGGGTCTGGAATAGGGTTAACATTCCTAAGCTCAAAATCATTTGATGGATGATTCTTTGGAAGAAAATTAGAGTGAAAGAACTTCTTTACAAAATTGGTGTGAGCTCTGATGCTAGTTGCCCTCTCTGTCATAGTGCTGATGAATCAATTGAGCATTTTTTTTTTATGTGATTACTGTAGGAAGTGCAGTAAGATCCTTGCTCAAAGTCTTAATGTGCAATTGTAACCTAGTTCTCTTGAAGATTGTGATGACAAGTGGTTCAAAAGACAAGTGCTTCAGTCCTTATATGCTGGGTTATTGTATGTTATCTGGAAGGAGATAAATCGAGCTGTGTAGAATAAGTGCATCAGAAATTCTGAGAGTGTTATTGTGGGATGCACATATATTAATCATAGAATAGAGTATGTTATGCCTACTAAAACTAGTATGAGAAATGTGGATTGGTTCAAGAAACTGATGTATAGTTAGAACTGGTAGTTGCAGTTTTGTGTTTGGCTTAATGCTACTAGTTTGGCAGCTTGTTGATGTGTAAAGTTTGAATTTTAATAATATTTTTCAATAGAAGTAGCAGTAGAAATCCACGCCTAATCAGGCCTTAGGTCAACTGATCGAGCCCGAGTGTGGAGTGCAAGATATCAAACTTCAACAGGGAGCTAATCCCGATCAGATTTGGCTTAAGCTTTTATTGAGGGATCTCTTTGGGGCCTTGGTTCTTCATTTAACTTTGGGTTGGCTCTTGAGCTCTTATGTTTGGGCCTCAAAATTTTGTGGCCTTCCCTTTTAGTATCAAGATTTAGAACTTTGCAACTAAATGAACCTAGCCTTTAATAAATGGGTTCGATTCTCTTACTTAGCCTTAGGCTTCAAATCATATCGAGGTTTGATATTAGAGCTTTGAACTACGATTTGATATAAAATGTGATCCAGTCTCTTATATGTACCTCCTTAGTTTACCGATACTCTAAATTAAATACTTTGTATGGAGTAAAGGATGTGCTTAAAGTAGAGGAGAGATTCAAAAAATCTTTCTCCAATCTACTGTATCATTCTTCTTTTAACTGTATACCAAAACAATTATAAGGTTAGTCCAATAATTAGTATGGGTTGACTTCCTCTAAAAGAAGTATTATCAATCTAATTTTTAGGCTCACGAACATATATTGTGAAGCTAATTTAACTTTATTATTTTTTGAAAAAAAAAATCCCTAATATGTAAGAATGTGCTACATTATTTGATCCACGTTCTAAAATTTAAATCAAAAAAACTTAAGAGCTTATGGATTAGCTGTATTCCATTCCAATTAGGGGTTGTTTGGTTGAACTTCTTGGAATGGGTTGGAACGGATTCTAAATCCATTCTGTGGTTTTATTTGTTTGATAGAGTTATTTAAGTATGAAATCACATACCTGAGGGATTCTAACTCCACCCCACCCCAATGATTTATAATCCATACTACCATTCAAGTATGAGAAGAACAATTAATTTGGCTTTTCAGTGAGCTGTGAATTCTCAAGTATTTGGTTGTTTTCTTGAAGGTTTCAAGTTTGCATTAATTGGTGATAAGGAACGTGAGCTTTGGATGGCATGCCTCTGATACCAATTCCATAACTATATCTAATGATACAATTCATGGTTCATCTACATGCCTCTTATGTCATGTCAGGCTTGTATTTACCATTTTGTGTCAACTATCAAAACCAGATTCAAATCATAAAACCAAGTAACTATAATAAATCAATTTAATTCATATGATCAAAACTTAAAAAATTCATTTCGTTTGGATTTATGGTTTGAACCATACTTCATATAGCTTTCACCTCTATCTAAAATCATCCAAATCACATATGTGACCTTTTAATAAGTACTCCCTCCGTTTTCAAATAATTGCTTCACTTTCCTTTATCGGCTGTTTTTAAATACTGTCTTCATTTCTTTATTTGGAAAACTTTTACAATATTTAATTAATTTCTCTCACCTGATGGACCCACCATTAATCATATTTTATTAATTTCATGTTCGCTCTGCTCCAATTTTTTCCACTACTTTTATTTTTTTACAATTTTTTTTTTATTTTTTCACCTACTCCACTACCTCTATATTTTATTAGTTTCTCCAAATTCTCCTAAAACTCCACGCACGGAAGGAGTAACAAGTAATAACCTTTAGTCATTCGTTACCTAGAACTAATATATGGTCTAGATTTTAACATGTATCAACGTATACCAATTCAATGACCATGATTCAAAGCTTGTGGTGCTCATCTTTTAAACAAAATCAACTCTACCAATTTCTAACACCAAAAACTTAACCATATTCCAACCAAGTTCTTCCATTGTAGCATTTCGCAATTCACAATTTACAATTTCACATTGTTCATAGTCTTATCCCCTCACAAACCTCGAACACTTCACAAAAATGGTAGCCAACCTCTTCTCTCCTTCTCATCCACTATCATCTTGCTCCTCAATCTCCAACTATAATAAAACCAGAGAATTTTCTCTCTCCTACCATACCCAACAACAACAACAATTTCCAGCTATTTCGAAGCCGAAAAGAGCAGTAAAAGTTGCAGTTTCTGCCTCCCTCCAAGAAATTGAATTAGCATCAGATTTAGCCAATCATCTTCATGAAAATCCATCTTCTTTGTTTGTAATAGCAGAAGGTGTTGGGTATTCTGTTGCTAGCTATTATACTTCTCTGGGTCTGTTTGTTATCTCTGTTCCGGGCCTTTGGTCTCTCATCAAACGTTCTGTTAAATCTAAGGTATTATTTTAACTTCAATTTTCGTATTCAGGTGGATGCTAACTAGCTTAGTCGATTAACTTTTAACGGGCAATACCCATTATCCATACATTACTGTTCTTTGTGACTCTCGAACATTTACATTCCACACTGAAATTCTATTGATTTTCTTACTCCAGTAATTGATTTTTTGTTTTTTTTTTTCATATTGTTGATAAATGAATTTTTGTTGTGAAATTATAGATTGTAAAAAAGACATACGTACAAGCGGAAGAGAATAAAAAGGCACCAAATCAGGTTGCAGGAGAAATCTTATCCTACTTCACTCGTAACAATTTTGCGGTGACCGATAGAGGAGAGACTATTACGTAAGTTGCTTCTATTTTCGTGGACTACATTTTCCCATATTTCGTGCGTTCTTTAATTATTTGTCCTCCTTTGTTCGTGTTAATAGCATGTCGATAATATAAATTGAACTAGTTATAATAATGTCACTATTATTTCCGAACAGATTTATCAAGGGATAGTTTTATTTTTTTTCTTAATGACGAGGTATTGGATTGGGTGTGTGTGCAGTTTTGAAGGGATGATGGTACCGAGTAGGGGGCAAGCAGCATTGCTGACATTCTGCACCTGCATAAGCCTAGCAAGTGTGGCTCTAGTGCTTACGATTACGTTTCCGGATGTGGGCAACAATTGGTTTTTGATCACTGCCCTTAGTCCTTTGGCGTAAGTCTTCAAACTCTTAATCATTGTAATTATGAACTAAAAGTCAGTTCAATTGCCAATCAAAGTTTTGGCCTAGGATGATACATTTATCATAGTGATTACTGTCTTACTGATTAGATAACTCATCCATCCAGAACTATATGCGAGTTATTTGGGGTTTTGGGGAGAAATAATTGTGGCAAATGTAGTGAGTTAGTCATACGTCTGAAATAAGAATATAGGACAATCTTAGTGGGACAAAGGGAGGAATAGACACGGTTACATAGTGGCATATTGGATGTTTCTAACTCGATAGATGATAAGAGAGTTATGTTGAAAGGGAAATCCTGAATTTGTTCAAGTGAGCAGGGTGCAAATTTTTAACTACAATCATCATCTTCTCCCTAAAATGCCTCAATGGCACCAAAATGACCAAATCCTTAAATTTCAATGATGCATATGGTTCTTTTCTAGTGCATTAATGGACTTGTTATTTCTTGTCTATACAGTGGAATATATTACTGGCAACGTGCAGCGAGAAAGGAGCAGATCAAGATCAAAATGGTTGTAGGAGAGGATGGGACACTGTCCGACGTCATAGTTCAAGGAGATGATCAGCAAGTGGAGCAAATGAGGAAGGAGCTACAGCTGAATGAAAAAGGGATGGTGTATGTCAAGGGCATTTTGGAAAGATAGTCACACCAGATCAAGCAAGAACCCTCTGCAGATTCTTTTCACGGCTACTATTAGATACAACAGTAAAATGTTAAATTTAATCAAGAAAATCTCACTCCCTTTATCTTTCTTGAGAGCATTTTGTAAGGCAAATAGTCTTTGCTGAGATGTAAATACTTCCAGAAATCTACAGAGCCACATGCATCTAAAGTTCAAATCTTTACAATCAAATTTTTCTTAACAGTGATATGAATATAACAACATGAGTTGAATGTATTGTATGCAGGATGGTAACTAGCAGCAAAAATTTATACTAAGCAAGTTGCCCAGCAGATTATTCGACAACATCAACTCAACCAGTTAAAATTACAAACTCAAAATTACACAAGCATTTTTTGGCATGCTTATAGCAAAATAAATTTATCTGGAAATGTCTCAGAATATTCTGATATCCAAGTTTTATAGCTAAAGGAAAACCAAAAAGAATTCTAGATATCGCCATCATCCCTGTGGCTTAAGTGGCTTTCACCATCTCACTCCTTAACCAATTAGCAATTTGTTCTCTTCCAAGAAAGAGTAAGTTGGTACCTCAAGATTATAAGGTGCAGGACCCTTCCGAATTCTACCAGATATGTCATAGTGAGAACCATGGCAAGGACAAAACCATCCACCATAGTCTCCAGCATTTGGCAAAGGAATGCAACCCAAATGAGTGCAGACACCAATCACAACAAGCCATTCAGGGTCCTTAACTCTTTCTTCATCCTTCTGTGGGTCACGAAGGGAACCAAGATCAACACTATTAGCCAGCTTGATGTCGTCATCAGTTCGACGCCTGATGAAGACAGGCTTTCCACGCCACTTCACAGTCACAGTAGTGCCTGGTTCAATGCTTGAGAGATCAACCTCAAGTGATGCCAGAGCAAGGACATCCTTACTGGCAGACATACTCAGCACAAACTTAAGGACAAGCAGACGGACAAGTGAAGCATAGACGAATCTTCCACCAGTGAGAACAAAATAAGCAAATGCTCTCTTGCTGGGATCACCAGGAGGATATCGTTCATGGTTGTATTCATCATAGGTGATTTTTGATGAGGGATTCTTAATAGCAGCCACAGTAGCTGGAACATCAGGGATAATGCCATGTTCAGCTTTTGGGACGAGATTCTCAGTAGCAAATCCTGCATTCAGCCATCCAAGTCCAAAAGATTAATGTTTCACCACTACAAAATTTTGGCAGTTAGAGTACCAAGCACAAAATCCTATGGCCACAACTACAAAATCCCAGTAGGTGGCCCCAGAATAACATAATATCCTTGAATCAGCTAGCAGTTAAAAGATATTACACACATTATGAAATGCTATTACAAACATGAAGCATATTGCAGAACCAGATACAGCAGGACATGGTGCTCTACATTCACAATCTAAGGAAAATTCACATAACATTCACAAAGACTAATACTTGAAAAAACACCTAAATTACATGTACTAACATAGAATCTTTAACATTATGTACATTTTTAGTTAAGAAAATAATACCAATATAAATGAACTGCCAATAATAAATACCATCCAAAAGGATGAACAGTATTTATCAAGCATCACAGCAAAAATAAATAAATGTTGAATCACATAAATAAAGCCAGTAACAATAGGAAAGCAAAAAGAGCTCTCTCCCAAGGCTATCAAGATAAACTCAAGGGAAGCTAGAAATTATATTCCTTCAAAAGTAGCCTCAGTTCTCCTATAAGTCCTATTGTCAACAATTGCATTGCAATGCGATTAATTGATATTATTATTAAGACAAAACAAACTCCCGCATGGATCATATATGATCTATGTGTAATTTGGGAAAATTTACTCATTTAATTTTTTTCCTCGGTTTTATGGCTTGGTAACCCATCTATTTCCAATATATAGACATCAAATTACCAAAAGAAGCAAAAAAAAAAAAAAAAAAAAAAAAGAACTGTAGTTCAACAGGATTCAACTGCAAGTTCTTCTTTACCTGAGAGACAAAGATGACTTTCTGTAAATACAGAAATTCCTACATAATTTTGAAAAAGCAACTCCTGGTTATCCCTTTGATTTGATTTCTTGTTACTTTTTGAGATGAAATTTTAATTTGTGGTTGACTGTATATTTAAAGACTGACCTCGAAAACACCTTAGCCTACGTTTTAATATGTTTTTGACATTTCACACAAAATATCCCCTAATTCTTGACCCTACACAGATGTGCAGATACGGATTGCAGCTGATACATGTAGTTTTACAAGGTTTAGCATAGTACCAAGCATCTATAACTGCAAGTTTCCAACTTATAATCTGCTGAAATGAATGTTGCAAAATTATAAGGCACACCCAGAGATTATTCAGGAAGAACAAATTCCCTAAGAAAAATCATTCCACAATAAAAACCTATAATTGCCAACAAAGCAACAGTTCCTCCTATTAATTTTCCGCCCATGAAGCTCGTTAAACCACGGATTTCGATCCCAATTTTCATCTTCCCGATGCTACAACAATCATATCAGCAATCAACAGAATAGTATGCCCACACAAAATAACATCGCTCCCAAATAATTCAAGTTAATCATCCCTATCTCCAACCCTCCATTTTCCCTAAAATACACCCGACTAAAAAAACTCACGCGATAAGTTCAATACACCCAATCACCGGCATCTAAACTCCCAGCTCCAGGGCAGGCTCCTATTAATTTTCGAATTACACAAATCCAGATAATTTCACCTCTCCTGAAACCTAGCCTAAATTGATTCAGAATTCAACCACAACAAACAAGTAACCCATATCCGCATATTCATCGAATCGCCAAATAATCAAGCAATAAGGGTTCAAATATAAACAAATTCAAAGCACACCCATAACAAATCCATCTAAAAACAACTAAAAATCGCAACTTTTCAAGATCCTTTTCAAATCCCAGCAATAAAATCATCATCAGCAGAATCAAAACAACCACAATCAAACAAAACCCAAATTTCAAAACCAAAAAATAAAATAAAAAATAAAATAAAAACTGAACCAAATCAAAAAATTCTTTAAACATCTTGAAATCAGAAGAGAACCCTAACCTCGAAGGTGGGTATAATAATGGGGTAAGAACAAGGGGGTAGATCTGGACTCCTGGTCGTCGCGAGAAAGAGGAGATTTGGAGACGACAGAGGATGAGGCGGCGGGACGCCATGAAGAAGAGGAGAGAGAAGAGAGGCGCCTTGCCGCCACCCTCAACATCTTCGAGAGGATTTGGATTTCCGCCTTTGACGGTGAGAGAAAATGAAGGGTTGGGTGGTGGACGAGGTGCTTACGAAGGAGGAGAGAGAAAATGAAAGAGGAAGAGAAATGGGAGAGTGTGTAAAGTAAAATACAAGACTAGGAGTACTAGAACTTGCGAAAGTTTGGGAATTGGGATTGGAAGGAGGTCAAGGTTGATATTATTGAGATTTTAAGGGATTGTTTGGGATATATATTAGGGCCTTGGGGGTTTTTCTTGAGGGTAGATAATCGCGTAAAGGACTTGCTTGCAATTTTAATTAAAAATCAATCAATTATTAATACATAATACTAAAATAATTGACACGTGTTATTTCCGGTTGTTTTTTCCCTTTAAAATCCCTCTCCCCTTTTTTTTATCCTTTTTCTCTCCCCTTTTTTAGCCAATGTCATAAATTACCTACTCTAAGTTATACATAAAATATTCAACAAATATCCAAATATAATATATATATATACTAGTTTTGTGCTCGTGCGATGCCCGGGTTGTTTATTGAATTTTAAGATAAATTTGTAATATATATGTCAAATTTTAAAACATATCATTGATACAAAATTAGTTAGGAATTTATGTGTTTTGTGATGATTTAAACTATATAGTGGGCATGTAATGACAAATAATAACAACATTGGTGAAAAATATTTCTTGACCTGTAACCTGAAATAATGACCCTGTCTGAAATGACTCGTGACCCGACCCGATTGACAGGTCTACACACAGTAATAAAACTATACTTCCTCCATTTTTATTTTATTGCACCATTAGGACTTTTACACTATTCACTTAATCTTCTTTGACCATCATTTGTGATTTACTCATTCGGAAAAATATAGTCATGTGAGATCTAGTTAGATTCGTCTCGAAATATCCTTTTCAAATATCAAATTTTTATAATTTTTACAAAAGTATAATTGAAGATATTAATAGTTAAAAAATGCATTGGCAAGCGTGAAATCCCTCATGGTGCAATAAAAAAAGAACGGAGAAAGTATTAGATTGTAAAGTATATTGTTTTAATTGATTAGAATATATTATAAATAATGGATGTGGTGCATTTTGAGCTAATTTCTTCGCTCCAAAAAAATACTATGATACAAAAAATAAATTTATATGATAATTTATGAGTGTTATAAATTTTTTTTAATAAAACTATAATTTAATTTGTACATATGAAATATTGGTACTTTATCGAAAATAAAACTCTAAATTAACAATTTTATCTTAAAATTCTATCCAAATTTGATTGAAAATAGAATTCTAAATTAACTTTTTTATCCTACAAATTGAATTCTATATAACTCTATCCTACGTGGTGCGACACTTGGCGAAAAGTTGAAACGCCAAGTGTCGCTATCTCGTCGCCTGGCTAAAAGTTTAGCTTTATATATTAGTTATATGATATATATAAAGGAGAGTTTTTTTTCCGAGTTTTTAGAGAGTCACGTAGGATCTAATTTTCTTAGTGCGCCAGGTATGATTTTAAATTTTAGTAGTAGCCAATTAAATAAGAGATTATTAAAATCTTTTATAATTAAATAATTCAAATGCCATGTAAGAAAAATTAGCGTATGAGATTTTTAAATTTAAATTAATTAAATATAAAATATAATCTTTTGATATTAGGAATTTTATCTAAATATATAACCAGTTTCAGCACATAAATTGAAAATATATATTTTAAAAAAAAATTCAAACAAATTGTGCATTGCACAGGCTTCATCTAGTAATCATATAACTAATATATAAAGCTAAACTTTTAGACAGGTCACAAGGCAGCGACACTTGGCGTTCCAACTTTTCGCCAAGTGTCGCGCCGCGTAGGATAAATTTAAATAGACTTTACAAGATAAAAAAATTTAGTTTAGAATTCTATTTGGATAGAATTTTAGGATAAAATTGATAGTTTAGAGTTAGATTATAATTCTAATATAGTTCAAAGTGTAAAACATCCATTTATAATGTATACTAATCGGCTAAAATAATATGAGTACTTTACAATTTAATAGAGTTTTATTACTATGTAGACCTATCAATTAGGGTCGGGTCACGAGTCATCTCATATTGGGTCAGTTCAGGTTATGAGTCAAGAAATGTTCAACTCTTGCCCAAAGTTTTAGGTTCGGATCAACCAACGGGCTTTGAACATTTATTTCATTTAATTTATTTTTTGCTATTTTTTTAGCGTATTAAATCGAACATTTCCACCAACATTATTATTAGCCATTACATTCCTATTATATAGCAAATCGTCACAAAAGCACAACCAATTCCTAACTAATTTGTGTCAATGAAATATTTTTAAATTTGATATGTAAATTAAAAATTTATCTTACAATTCAATAAACAATCCGGGCATCGCACGGGGCACAAAACTAGTATAATATAATTGTGATTATTTTGATTCATATAATTTTCAGTTCTATAATTAATATTTTCCATTCTATGTAGTTTTAGACTACATATATAATGTAATTTTAAATGAATATAGAGTTTCCAAATTTTTAATATACAAATCTAAAGTAAAATTAAATTAACTTAGATTTAAAAAAATATACATCTAAATGTTAAAAAATATTTTCCAATGCTAAATTTATAATAATAATAATTGCAGATTTTGGTGAATACGATAAATAAAACATGTACTTCGTATTAGATTGTAGTTATAGAAACATAAGGTATGACAAGAATGTTTCACAAAAAAAAAAAAAAAAAAAAAAAAAAAAAAAAGTATGACAAGGAAATTTTAGCTTTTTTCTCTATTGGAAATAGGAAATTAATATATAGTTATGTGGGGAAATATTTATTTAATTTTTAATCAATAAAATGAAATTATAAAATAATACAAATAACTTAAAATACTATTCAAATTACATTCCTTTATGATTGTATGGACAATTAATAAATGAGCTCTTTATTACTATTTAAATTATCTTTGTTTTTTTCCCTATGAGATTAATAATTTGATTTATAAACCGTGTATTGCACGGGCACTATGCTAGTTATACTCTATTTTTATGGTTAAGCTACTTGAATTTGAATGATAACTAAAGTGGCTAACGCTCATGATGCGCACAATTGCACTATACTATCTGTGTATGCGCGAGATTTTTCAGTTGATGGTTCCAGTAATGAAAGAAAATATGTAAATAAATATTTTTAGGAGCATAAATATTTGCACAATATTCTTAATAGGTTTTTTTAAAAAAAAAATAATAAGACAATTAACATTGATGAAACGAAAAAAATTTATACATATAAATAAGGGTATAGATGCAAATGCACATTTTAAAGGGTATAATTGGTAGCACACTATTCATAAGAGTAATTTTAAAAAAAATAAAATAAAGGCAATTAACATTAATGAAGAAAAAAATGTACATACAAGTCCCTTATTCTTTTAAGCTTCCAAGCAGAGTAGAGTAGGGATCAACATACATAGAAGAGCAAAATATATTACAGCAGAGCAGAGCAGATTTCATCATCATCATCATCATCATCATCATCGTCGTCGTCATCATTATTATTATTATTATTATTATTATTATTATTATTATTATTATTATTATATCAAAAAAACCTACAAAGTCAATCAATTTACAAGAAATTGGTGAGGAACCGAGATACAATCTGGGCACCCACCCCTCTATCTATAGCAAATCCGATCCTACTGAAAATGTGAGTAGTTGCACGAGCACCAATATCCCGAATCTTAGCGAATGCCTGAACCCGCTTCAGCAACGCAATAACATCCTTCTCTTCCCCCAACAAAGAAAAGGAGAAAGGAAGAAAACCATAGCCAATAGCCCTGCAACGCACCCCATACTTGTCCCGCTTCCGCTGAGCCACCGCCGACACAACACGACTAGGAACGAAGTCAGACAACCCCAATTTGTGTCAAAGGTGAAGACCCCGTCAAGTCAACACATACATCAAGGCCTCTATCCCAGGAATAAAGCAACACATCAGCTGGTCGTAGAGCCCCGTCATTCCCTCCAGTCAACCCATTGTTAACCTCCTTTCTAGGAGAAATCCCAGACCGAAAACAAATATCAACAAGGGTGTCACGAACAACATTGTGTCGATGTTTAATACCCACCATCCCAGCACAAGACACTGCATGATCCCCATAAATATCCCCATCAAAAACCCTTGAGCAAGCAGAACACGGTGTTGTAACGGAGAACAAAGGAACACCCAAACGGTAGCAAAGAACACTACGGTAAGTATTATTATTATTATTATTACTATTATTATTTTTTTTTATCTGGCAATTATTATTATTATTATTACCTCAAAAACAAAAAGTCATACAACCTACAATAAATTAGTGGGAAGCCGAGATACAATCTGGGCCCCCACTCCTCTAGCTATAGCAAAGCCTACCCTAGTTAAAATATGAGCTGCAGCAGGTGCTCCAATGCCTTGCGTCGTCGAGAACCTCTGAATTCGCTTAAGCAACGCAACAACCTCCTTTTCTAATTCACCAAACGAAGAAAAGGAGAAGGGAATGAACCCATATCCAATCGCCTGACAACGAGCCTCATACTTAACCCGCTTCCGATGAGCTGCATCAGCCACAACCCGTCCAAGAATAAAGTCGGATAGCCCTTGTAAACCACGAGATGTAGGAAATGCACCAACACAAGCCCTCCAGAAAACAACTTTACTCTCGGAAAGGTATTCGCGTGCCATACTTTTTTCCATACAACAGTCAAAGAAGAAGACGATGCTATTGTCTCAGCATCCAACTTGTCTTCTCCTTTGACACAATCATAAAATTGTCTGACATTGTTCCAGAAAACCCAACATGAAACCCAACAAAGTCAATCAAAAACCCTTGAGCAAGCAGAACACGATGTTATTATTATCAACAAAAACCCAACATAATAACACGACCAGAACTTCTCATCCCAAATTAATCTTGCAATAAAACATTCCTTCAAACAATGAAGCACCATTTCCTCGTCCACCCCACAAACCGAACACATACAAAGGCAAAATTCTAGATACCCTCCCTTGTAAACCACGAGCCGTAGGAAATGCACCAACACAAGCCCTCCATAAAGCAACTTTACTCTCGGAAAGGTATTCGCGTGCCATACTTTTTCCATACAACAGTCAAAGAAGAAGACGATGCTATTGTCTCAGCATCCAACTCCCT